GAATTCTGACCCCAAGTCTAGTGCTCTCCCTACTATGACACAGCTACCTCTCAACTAACAAAAGAAGAAAAGAATTCATATTTAGGCAAGAATGGACTACGAAACTGAACACCATGCCAATTAAATGATTGTGATATATATTCTATAAAGGCAGACACTGTCTTTTTTTCCCCTTCTTTTTGGGTCTTTATATTCCTAGAGTCTAGCAAAGTGCCTAGCACTTAGCAGATGTTTAATAAATGCTTTTTGGGTTTGGATTGGATTGAAATTATGCCGTTTGTGTCCTGGTTTCCCAAGGGACTTTTGTCTCAAGGAGCAATGGGATTGTGATGAGACAATGGCAGGGACAGGGAGAGTGTGTGTGTGTGTGTGTATGGGCGGGTGGATACAGCTGCCAATGGGAAAAGAACCAAAGGGAGTAGAAGAATCTACTTCTTCACTGGTATAAGCTAGCTTTCATATGCTCCCATAACTGCTATCATAAAGGTGGGGGTAAGGGATGGTACTGAATACTGTTGCTGAAAGGTTTTCCTTCTCTCTCTCCCTCTTTTTCCCTGTCTCTGTCTTCCCCTTCCTGTAAAAAAAAACAAAAAAAAAAAAAAAAAAAAAAACCATGGCTAACCATGCACAGTGTAGGGAAGGTATCATTTTAGGAATGTCAATTTGCAGTTGCTAAATTTAGGCTGAACTTTTATGCCTTGGCAGCAATGTCCCAAGAGTCATGGATAGGAGGAAAGGCTGTGCTTCAGTTTTTGAAGACCATCCCTTGCTGCTTAGGGAAGCTTACATGCTGAAAGCATATTGTCTCTCCCTTTGTGACCCTTTATAAAAATGTGGATTGTCTTATGCAGTCAATTCTGTTTAGGGTAGCACATCTATAACCCATTGTTTGGTAGAGCTTAAAAACCTTGTCCTACATATGCTTTTTTATTAAAAGAATCCATTTTTAAAATGAATTAGGTCCCAAGCCTCTAAATTTATAAAGACAGGATCTTTCTAAATAAAGAAAAATACAGGCTTTCCCCGCCCCCCCCCCCTTCTGGTGGAACATCTGTTCTTGATGTATTTTCCTTGTGAAAATAAACAGTCTTTCAGATATGTTTTCATTTGGATGATATGAAAGCATTACTGTATTCCTTGTATTAGAGTGCTATTTCCTTTGTAATGCCTTCAGATATCTTTCTGGAGAGGGCTGAGGAGGAGGAAGGGGAGAATGGAAGCTTAAGCAAATATAAAGTATAATGAAGCTTTTGTTCAATCATTTCTGACCTAGTGTCTGTATCTTCTTTCTTTCCTCTTTTTTTGCTCCTCACGAATTCAAACCCTGATCATTTTTCTCTTTCTAAGATACTGTCTTAAGAGTGGAGGGCCTATAGCCCATCCCTGGCCTAATTGACGAGGCAGTTCATTTGTCTGACTTTGTCTCCAAAGCCCTTTAGAAGCCACACATCGTTACCCAGAACTGAAGAATTTGCCTGCATTCCAGAATCATATGGGAATCATTGTTCCCATCTGCTCCCCAGCATCTCCCACAAATGTGATTCTGCATGAAGCCCACTGGACTGATTGGAAGCACTCCAAGCTGAGGTTACAGCGTCTTTTAAAGAAGCCCCATAGAGTTGGACTTTGGGGCCCAGCTTATCAGTTCAGAGTAGCTACATGTCCTCACATAGGAAGCTGATGGGTAGCCAGCCAAGCATAACCTAAGAGCTCTCAGATTTTCATACAAAAAAGGCCTGAAGGGTTTATTCAAATTGCAAACAAAATAGAGGCCTAGAATATAAAACACAATAGCACTTGTCCCTAGGATCACTTTCAGCTTAGAATGATGTCTCCAGATCAGCATTTAAAACAGAGAGAGGGGGAAAAAGTCATTTGAAAAATGTTTTCACTGACTTCTTGAAAAATACATGGACATGATTTCATAGGAGATAAGTTCAGTCAGCTGTCAGCAGTATAGCTAGTTGCTGGCATGGTATGACTCCCAGCTGCTTTTTCCAAGGTACTTCAGTCTTTGAAAAGAATTGCACAATTTGCTGGATTTTCCATGAGAAGAGAGGACTTCTTCCAGGTTCTACCCCAACCTCAGGTGCCTTGAGCCCTTCTCCTCATATCTGCCTCAGTAGTGTTTCTTTCCCAGGAACCTGATTCCATCTCCCCCTACAGAAAGAGGACAAATGTATAGGAGCCTAAGCCGATGAGGTGAAATCAATGCATCAACCTGGCCACATCCTGTTCAATACTGCCAAAGATCCAGGCTAGATCAACAAGCCCCAGGAAGCACATCTGGTGTAGAGCAAGGGTCTGCAAAGTAGGGGTCGAGCACCTCCTGAGACCCGGGGGTGACCAATTAAAGGATGGGAAGATGGGTTGCATCCCACTTTCTCCAAGCAGCCTAACTGAGGGTCTGTCTCCAACCAACTACATCACCCTATCCACCATTATCATTCAACACCCCATCATATCTGCAGCTGATTTCCATTGGCCATGCAAGCTCCCAGTCTCTCCCAATCTTCTGTTCGATGTTTTTGGTCCTTCGAAGTAGATCTGCAGAACCTACGCAGGTGCCTTTGAGATCCCTTCTTCTTGTCAGTGTACCCACACCCTGTCTCCTAGATCACCTCATGGAGGGGGCAGATGGTCCTCAGTGGGGCAGGCTTTGCACACCACAAGAGTGGCTAGTGAATAAGATCCATGCCCACCCCCTTTTTCATTTTCATAAGGGACAGAGTGGGTAACACAGGATGAACAGACATTCATAGGTTACAATCTACATGCAATGTATACACATCATTGAAGATCTCTTGTCATTATCTTTCTCCCCAAACCCATTCCTCTTCTGATCTTCCTTCTCTCTGCCTATTGAGAACATTGCTATCTTGGCAGCCTCCCAGGTTCTCTACCTTGCTATCTTTTTCTCCTCACTCAGCTGAAAATGTTCTCTTCAAAGTTACCAATGAATTTTTTAAAAGTACTTTTTATTTTTTAAAGTTTAACTTAATTTTCTTTTCAGTTCTGAATTCTCTCCCTTCTTTTCTTCCTCTGACTGAGAAGGCAAGAAAAACTAAACAAATTGCAAGTATCTATTGTCATGTGAAACAAATTCCTGCATTAGCCATATTTCAAAGAGAAAGCAAGAAAGGATGAAAGAAAGAAAAAGGAAAAAGAGAAGAAAATATACTTTGATCTCTACTGAGTCCATCAGAGGTCCATCTGGAAGCAGATAGCATGATTCTTCTTGAGTTCTTTGGAACTGTGGTTTGTCCACAAATGATGTCTTAATTGACAAATCTGATGCTCTTTTTTTTTTTTTAAGTTCTCATCTATCCTTATCTCTCTGCAATATCTAATGCTGTTGATTGTCTTTTCCTTCTGGATATTTACTCTTTCCTTTCTGGGTTGCTGAAAATGATATGGACCACCTGTAAAAACTCATATCTGTACATGTAAAAACTTGGAAACAGAATTTTCTAATTTGTTTCCAAATGTTCCAAGAAAAACATTTTGGTGAGTTTTGAGAATATTTGTTAAAAATAAATATGCAACAATAAATAATGCAAAAATAAATATGCAAATAAAAATGCAACACTTTATGAATGGTTTGTAAGCACAACGCTACAACTGACATCAAGGAAGATAGAAATGTTCAAGCTGGATCTTGGCCAAAACTTTTGCATAATCGGTAGGATGGGATTGAAAAATGAACATCATGATTTACTAAGTCAGTCCATGGTATACTTCTTTGATTTAGATTGACCTACTTTGGTGAAGTAAGCATTTTTTTCAGCTATGTATGACAACTCTTGAAACCCAGCATGGAAATAAACTGAACTAGAACCAGACCTTTGAATCATTGTGTCATAAAGTGTTAAACCATAACTTCCAAAAACAACAAAGCCTATTCAATCCCATTGCTTTCACTAAAATATCATTATGAATAATACTATTTTAGTGAGAGCAAAAGTTTTTTGTACCATTAATAAAATAATATTTTTAAAATAAGTCAAGTCCCTGCTACCACTTTGGTCACTTCTCTCTCTTAGACCATGATGGAGACAGCCCCAGTACCCTGAACCTAACAGCCTCTGGAAGAGCAGGGACCCTGCTTCTACTCTGGCCCCTGTAGTCATTATTGAAGTAAGCAACCCCTGTGGAGCATAGGTTAACTGCCACTGATGACAAAGTAAACCTAAGAGCCCTTATAATAGCAGTGTTACCCGGCCACAGAACCTTCTTCCCACAGCCACTGTCCAAGGGAGCAATCTCTGTGCTTCCAGCCATCCCCATGTACTGCCAACCATTTGCCAGTGACAGGGCAGGCAAGCTAGCTTAGATGAAGCAGCAGGTGCCCCAAAGGGAGAGACAGGAGGTGGTATATATCAAGTGAATCAAACTCCTGCCCCCATTTCAATCTCTACCTCTCCTCAGATCACAATGGAGACAGCCCAGGACCCTGAGCCCCAGAACCCCTGGAATGGCAGAATGGCATCAGCCTCCAGGCCCCTCTCCCCACCCTAGCAGTCATTACCCAAGGAGTCATCTCTTAAGAGGAAGCCATAGCCTCCTCATCAGCCACAGCTTCTAAAGACCCAGAAGAGAAAGTGCTCACCATCCTGTACAGATCTTGGCACTGTCAAATGGCTCAGTATCAGAAATGGATATGGTTTGATCAGTGGCAATAACATTAAACACCATGCATTGGTATCTGCTTTGCCCATATGCCCTGAGGAGCATGGGGCTTTTCCTCTGAGTTGCAGCTGAAACCTCCTAGACCTGCTGTCTCCCCTTTGCCCAGAGCAAGCACAAATACCTTTTCATTCATTCATCTTATCTTTATTTTAAACTCTGTATAATTTATGCTATGTACATTTATTAGTGCTGTGGCATATGTATATGATTTATAACATGTGTATGTAGGTATATGTGTATATGTATGATATATATGTATATGAGTGTGTGTGTATATATGGATCATGTGCTCAAACTTGTTTTGTTGATAGGCATGTATATTCAAGAATGTTTGGAGACCACTGGGCTGGAAGTCATTCCATCTCTAATATTTACTAGGTATGTAGTGGGATAAAGGACTACACCTGTAATTTCATAGGTAGAGGGAACTCCCAGGTGAGAACATTGCCTTCATCAATGCAGATCAGCATCTTCTCTGTAACTTGTCAGTCTTTGAGAGTAGCTTGGGAGCACTGAGTGGCTCAGTGATATATTCAGGGTCACACATTCAGTGTGTGTCAGAGGTGAGACTTGAACTCGGGCCTTACTGAACATGAGTGCATCTTTTCATCCACTACCCTGTGTTATCTAACCATGGACAAAAAATGTAATCTCTCTGAGCATTGATTTTCTTATCTATAAAATGAGGATAATAATACCTACCTCACAGGGTTGTTGTGAGCACCAAATGAGATAACTTACGTTAACTAACTTATGTTAAGCTAACTTACATTGCAAACCTGAAAGTGCTATATGCATGTCAATTATTATTATTAATCAAACGATATGTTTTCAACTTTGGGGGAAAAGTTTCTTGGAGAATTCTGCTGTTATCCATGAGATGCAAGGTCTATAGTAATGCTAAGATGGAAAAAAGCCTGTTAACGTTCAGTGCAACTATTTTTAGTCGACCAAATTGACCTATAAAGATAGAGAATCTTTGTATCCATACTATGAATGATTTTTCTCTTCAACTCAATATACACTCAAGTTTCCTGTGCTGAAGTTTCTCAATGAAACCCACAAGTAGGCCATCTTAGGTAATAATAATAATAGCTTATATTTTTAAGCACTTTTAAAATTTATGAAGAACTTTCTTTACCTACCTGTGAGCTAGGCAGTGCAAGTATTATTACACCCATTTTGTAGATGAGAAAACTGAGGCTCAGAGAGGTTAAGTCACAGGATTATCAGTCAATAAATGTTAGAAACAAGGTTCAAACCTAAGTCTCTTTTGACTTCAAGGTGAAGACACTTTCTTCCAATGACTCTCTTATAAATAACCATTCTTCTATATCAATAATTGTTATAATTGAAAGGGATCTTAGAGATTCAATTCAGTTAAGCATTTATTAAATAATTATATGCAATAAAAATTACTATAGTGTTTTGGGGAGAGATGCAAAAATGGAACGAGACAGTTGGGGTAGAAAGACTCATCTTCCTGAGTTCAAATCTGGCCTCAGACGTGTATTAGCTGTGACCTGGGCAAGTCACTTAACCTTTTTTACCTCAGTTTCCTTATCTGTAAAATGAGATGGAGAAGGAAATGGCAAACCACTCCAGTATCTTTGCCAAGAAAACCCAAATAGGGTCACAGAGATTTGGATAAGACTGAAAATGACTGAACAACAACAAAAATTTCATGGAATTTCTAACTTAATCGAGAGGGTGAGGGTGGGTGAATAAAACAAGTATGGATATACATAACTATAATGCAAACTATAATATGAAAAGTGCCTATCCAAACAGAGTGGTATAAGAGTTTTGGTAGCATTTGTCATTCAGGGAATCAGGGAATACTTCGTGGAGCAGATGACACCCTGGTTGGACCTTGAAGGAATGGAAGGATTTCATAAGGTAGAGCTATTGGATGATACCATTCCAGTTTTCCAGGGAGAGGGAGAGACATTACGCACAAAGATCTGAGGGTGTACAACCAGATGAGGTACAAAACATTGTAACTATGCTTTTTTTGAGGGGTGGGGAGGTGTTTCAGACTACCTGCAAAGAAGCAATATACAATGAGTCTGAAAACGATGGCTGAGGAGTTTAAGCATTATTCAGTAAACAATGGTGAGACACTGGAATCTCAAAAAGGTTAATGAAGGGATAAGAGACTGTGTTACATGAGATAGTTATGTCTGGCCTGGCGAAGAGGACACTCTCTTCAAGTACTTGAAGGTCTGTCTTTTGCCAGAGGGATTAGATTTGTTTTGCTTCACCGTAAAGGGCAGAACAAATAACCTTATTGGAAGTTACAAAGGGGTAGAATTATGAAGAATATATGGAAAATTTTCCCCAAAATAAAACTATCCTAAATTGGAATGGGGTGCATTAGAAGGTCATAAGTTCCCTTTCTACTAGATGTCTTCAAGTGAAGACTGGATGGATGACTACTCAGAGATTCCTGTTTGAGCATTGCCTCTGGATTTCCTTCCAATTCTGAGATTCTAGGTGAGTTAAAATTTTATCTTGTTCTGGCCCCTGTGACCACCGCCACCCCCCCCCACCTCCAATCAATATAGTAAATTTATAAGCAGCCAGACCAGGAAGTCATGTACAAACCATACCAAAGATCAAAGGAGCATAATTTAGAAATTATGTACAAATTGACAAATTATCATATGGTAACCAAAAAATCACATGCTTGTTATATGTCCTGAATTGGGCAAGCCATCTAGGCTTTGGTCTCTGGGCCTTTCAGTCCTATGATGTTTAAATCTCAGACAAAATCAGACCTCCTCAGTAAAGACCTTCAGATCACCAAATGATGCTGATAATTTTGAGATGATATGTTGATGTGTAAACTTCAAATTTTTACTGACAACTTTGAAATGATTTGAATTTGTTAATAACTAATCTTAAGATGGAACAGATAAGAGTTAGTCTAGGGGTAGGGAACCTGTGACCTCAAGGCCACATGTGGCCTCTTAGGTCCTTGGGTGTGGCCTTTTGACTGAGTCCAAGTTTTACAGAACAAATCCTTTTATTAAGGGTATCTATGAAGTTTGGATTTAGTCAAAGGGCCACACTTGAGGACCTAGAGGACCACATGTGGCCTCGAGGTCACAGGTTCCCCACCCTTGAGTTAGTCTATTCTTCCCCCAAACCCTATGAAAATGAGACCTCAAACTTCTGCTTACCCCCAAGCACTCCCCCCACCCCCAGGACTCCGTCTCTATAAGGTCCATAATGCCAAGCGCTTCCAACTCTGATCTGTGGGTATGTGAGCAATACTGTCTGTCTCTTCCCCTCTCTGTCCTCTTCCTCAAGCTGCCTGCCTTCCTTCACTGCCATCCCATCCCCTAACTGCCTCCACACCTGTTTTACTGCCTGTATCTGTACTTTTTGTGGTGTTTTCCTCCATGCCCTCTGTGGTTATTAAAGAGTGATTATGGCCCTGTTTCCCACTGCCATCATGGTCTTTTCCCACAAGTACCCAAAAAATTGGGTATGCCTGCCCCCATTTCATAATTTCATAAATTGGTGTTCAATTCACTAGGACTAAGACATTTGAGCAGGAGTTGGCTGGATCTATGCCTTAAGGAGGTTATTATTATTTTTTATTTTTTGCAAAGTGATGAAGTATGATTTATATTGGGATCATAGACCAATGATTCTCAACCTTTTGGGGTATGAGAGACTCTTCTTTTTTTTTTTTTGGCTAGGCAGTGGGTTTAAGTGATTTGCCCAGGGTCACACAGCTAGTAAGTGTCAAGTATCTGAGGTCATATCTGAACTCGGGTTCTCCTGACTCCAAGGCTGGAGCTCCATCTACTGCACCACTAGCTGCCCTGAATGACTCTTTTAAATATCAAAATATTGTGAAGATTTCCCCCTCTCTCTTAATAACATTATGAGTATATAGATTGGAGGAGGAAATGGCAAACCACTCCAGTATCTTTGCCAAGAAAACCCCAAATGTGGTCATGAAGAGTAGAACAGGACTGAAAAACAACTGAACAACAAAATATATTAATTGGGAAAATAACATAATGATGAAAAGCTATTATGAATACAGTAACACTTTTGAATAAAATAGATTGGTATTTTATTATTCACAATAGCATTTATATACATTTGAAAGATACTAATACATATATGTTCAAGACATTAGGATTAGGGATTTAGAGTTACAAGGGATCTTAGAGGTTATAAAGGCCAACTCTCATTTTACAGATAAGCAAATGAGGCCCAGAGAAGTTGTGACTTGCCCTAGGTCCCACAGCTAATAAGCAGCAGAACTGGGAGAAGACCTCAGAACCAGTGTTCTTTCTACTCTTTCAAGCCACCTCTCAGCACATATTGGTTACCAGTTCTATTTGCTGATCTCTTAGGTAGTATTACCTATCTAATGAAACCTTTGCTCATCATTCAAAGCAAAAATAATGAATCTAATTCCATCTATGATTTTGATACATTTTACATTAATCCAAACTTTTTTATTAAAAATATTGATAACATGACTAATGTGGAAATATGTTTAATATGATTGTATATGTATGACATATCAGATTGCATGCCATCTTGGGGAAGAAGGGGGAGAAAATTTAAAACTCAAAATCTTATAAAAGTGAATGTTGAAAACTAAAATAAATATTTTTTTAAAAAGAAAAAAAATTTTATTTTTTATATCACTTTTATTTCCAAATGTATCTTTTCCCTCTCTTCTATCCAGAGCTATAATAAAGAATGAAAAAGTAAAAGTTGGTTAAAAAAATACCTCAGCTAAGTCTGATAGAATATGCAATGTTTCACATCCATAGTCCTGACACTTTTGCAAAGAAGGGAGAGAATATATTTTCTCATCTTTTCTCTAGGGCCAAGGTTGGTCATTATAACTGCACAATGTTCAGTTTCTCTCTCCTCTCCTCCCTTCCCCTTTCCTGTCCTCTCCCTTCTTCTCTCTCCTCTCCTCTCCCCCAGACTATGCTTCTTCATATTGCACCCAGCCATCCAATGATCCAGCCAGCCATCTTACCATCTGCCTGCTGCCATATGCATATCGTATACCACCACCCATTTTCCACCTCTGTCATAGCAAAACTCTCTTCCTTGCTTACTTCTCCTTACATGTATTATCTTCCTCTACTGGAATGTAAGTCCCTTGAGGGCTGGGTTGGTCTCTTTAAAAAAATTTTGTATCTCTAGTGCTTAACAATGTGCCTGACATATAATAAAAACAATTTAAAAATATTTTTTATTTTGTTAAATATTTCCCAATTACACATAAATTTTTCAATATTCATTTTTTAACATTTTGAGTTCCAAATTCTCTCCCTCCCTCCTGCCCCTCTCCTACCCTTTGAGAGGTAAGGAATATGATATATTATGATATATTATATATATCATATTATAATATGATGTATTATACATGTAAAGTCATATAAAGCACTTCCATATAAGCCATAAACATCAATTTTTTAAATTCTTTTGTCTTTCCATCCATTCAATCTGTTTACCTTGTAGTCTGTATATAATGTTTTCCTGGTTCTTATTTACTCTACATCAGTTCATAGACAATCTTCCATGCTTCTCTGAATTCTTCATAATTTTTATGGCACAGTAATATTCCATCGTATATCACAATTTTTTTTTTATCAATTCCCTAGGGAACATCTACTTTGTTTCCAGTTCTTTGCTGCTACAAAAAAGTGCTGCTGTGCATATTTTCATGTCTATGAGACCTCTGGGACCAGAGGCGTGTCAAAGGGTGGGTCAAAGGGTGTGTGGACATTTAGTCTGTTTTTTTAAAGGCATAATTCCAAATTATTTTCTGGAATGGTTGGAGTAACACCAAGCTCCACCAACAATATATTAACGTGCCTGCATTTCTGCAGCCCCTCCAGCACTGACTTCCAGGACTGCTCCAATGTTGCCTTTCTTAAATTCATATAGATGGAAGGACAGTTATCCTCATGGATTGTCCATGTGATTTTTTGGTATCCATGAAATATCAAGAGATAGAGCAGAAGGATTCCAGCACATTGGGTGGACCCACTGTGGAGGACTTAAAGGAGGTCTGGGATAAGATCTGCACAGAATGAGAAGACATGGATAGGATGTATTGGACACATTGGTGGGGATATCCACAAAGATAAGGTAACATCCATCTATGTCTGCAAGTCTAAGATAAATAGTCTCAGAGAATTAGCAGTTGTTGCCCAATCAACTTTTAGCTTGGGACAAATAAAAAACTATATTCTACTCATCATAAACATCACATTAGTAATATTGCTTAATAGATACCTTTGCTACTACTTGGGTTGTGGTCAAGTAACAGGGTAGACAGGGAGAAGGCAGGGTCAAACCCAGGGCTTGGCCATTCTTCTTAGGAATGCACAGGGTGGGTGTGTCCTTTTTTCTACTAGCAGCAATGCACAGCTGACCTGACCCATCCTTCTGCTCCCTCTCTCATCAGAGCCCTCCAGAAGGCTGTTTGAGAGGGAATATGCACACAAAAAACTGCTCTGTACACCTTTTAAAAAATTATCTTGTTTTTCTTTTTTAAAAAATTTAGTATTTCATTTTTCCAATTACACATAAAGACAGTTTTCAATATTCATTTTTTGAAAGACAGTGAGTTCCAAATTTTTCTCCTTCCTTCCCTCACCTCCACCCGCCCCAGGATGGCAATGTTATATAGGTTATACGTTACACTATTTTCTTCTCAGTCAAAAATCACACGTATACCACTACATGTTCTTCACTCTGTAAAGAAATTTGACAGGGTTCAAAAAGACTCCTCAAAAATATAAAAATATAAAAAAAATCCAAAACACAAATAAAAGAAAAATAAGAGGCAACTTGTGACCTGGTGGGAGTTAACCAGAACCAAGTTGAAATCCTTCCTCAGACATTTACTAGCTTTGCGACCCTGGGCAAGCCACTCAGCCTCAGTTTGCTTCAGTTTCTTCAGCTGTAAAATATGGATAATAATAGCAGCTACCTCCCAGGGTTGTTATGAGAATCAAATGAGATTATACCTGTGTGAAACACTTTGCAAACCTCAAAGTGTTATATAAATGCATGTCATCATCATCATCATTATAAATATTTTGCTTCTCAGTTTGACGTGTCTGAAATGCCCACTTCATTGCTTTGGGTTAAGAAACCGTTAAGGCACTAACACAGTCTCTGTGTGCTAGACTGACAAGGCAGTGAAAATGAGAAGGGACAGGTGGACAGCCCAAGTGCTGTACGCTGGGGGAGAGCCCCTATGGAGGATTTACAGAAAGAGGCAGACAAGATGCATGACATTCGCTAGTGGAAGGGTGTTCTTAACAATGAGATCACAGCCGAGTAAAGCTTAATTATGGGTTGGTTTAGCAGACTTGTAAGCTTTTCAGTGATTTGTTTTTTCTTCATTTCTGGGTTATACCCCATCATTTATTTAAGCCATGATCCTCCCAGCAGTTACCTGCTTTCCTCTTAGGCCCCACTCACCTCCCCTA